AGGGTTGGTGGCCAGGTGGGATTTAAAACATTTTAAAATATTTTATTTTTATTTATTTTTTTATCTTTTTTTGAGACAGGGTCTTCCTGTAGCCCCAGCTGGCCTGAAACTCACTATTTAGATCAGGCTGGTCATGAACTCACAGAGATCTGCCTGCCTCTGCCTCCCACGTGCTAGAATTAAAGGTGTGTGCCACCATGCCCAGCTCTATGTATATATTTTTTTGAGACTGGGTCTCCCTGTAGCCCCAGCAGGACTGGAACTCCCAATCCCAGACTGGCCTCGATCTCACAGAGATTTGCCTGCCTCTGCTGGGATTAAAGGAGTATGCCACCAAGCCTGCCTTATTTATTTGAGACAGGCTGTTATGTATCCCAAACTGGCCTCAAACTCAAACTTCTGATCCTCTAGCCTCCACCTCCCAAATTGCTGGGAACTGGAACTCATGTCCTCTGCCAAGAGCAGCCAGTGCTCTTAATCACTGAGCAATCTCTCTAGCCCCTAAACATTTATTTTGTATGTGCGAGAGTGTAGGTATGTGCATGCCATTGTGTATGTGTAGCAGTGAGAGGATGACTTGCAGGAGTTGGTCGGTTCTTTTCCTTTCACCTCCTGAGTTCTAGGGGTTGAACTCAGGTCATCAATCTTGGTGGCAAGCACCTTTATCTGTTGAGTATTTGTCCTAGTTTGTTCTTCATTGCTGGGACAAAACACTCTGACCAATACCAACTTGGGGAGGAAAGGGTTTATTCAGCTTACAACTCCCAGGTCACTGTTCATCTGGGAGCCCAAGGTAGGAACTCAGGGCAGGAACCTGGAAGCAGGAGCTGGAGCACAGGCCATGGAGGAACACTGCTTATTGGCTTGCTCCCCTGGCCCCTGCTCAGCCTGCTTTCTTATGCAACACAGGCCCAGCTGCCCAGGGGTGGCACCACCCACAGTGGGCTGGGTCCTCCCACATCACTAATCAAGAAGATGCCCTTCAGACATGGCCACAGGCCAGTCCAATAGAGGCAATTCCCCAACTGAGGCTCCCTCAACCCAGGTGTGTCAAGTTGACACTAAAGTTATCCAGCATAATTGACCCCTTGTCAACTTGACACACAAACATCACTATTAAATGATAACTTTCCAATTTCTGTCCCCAAGATATGATGTTAATATCACAACATAAGACAGTGCAACCTTATAAACCCCCACAGTCCTTAAAATATTCAAACACTTAAAAGTTCAGTCTCTTTTAAAAGTCTCTTAACTGTGGGCTTCCGTAAAATCCCAAACAAGTACTGTCTTGTTTCAAAGGGAAGAATTGGGCACACCTAAGCAAAACCAAAGTCCAGCAAAGTTGCTCGAGGCTGGACATCTTGGATTCACTCACAATCTGCTGGGCTCCAAAGGGTACTGGCAGCTCCACTGCTCTGACTCCGCAGTCCACAGCACACTCAGCTCGTCTTGCAGACCCACACCTGCCACTGTCCTTGGTGGTCATCCCATGGTCCCTGAATCTCCAAAAAGCTGGGGTCGCCACTGAAACTGAGGCTACACCTTCACCAATGGCCTCTTCTTGCCTCTTGGGGTGCAAAGCCTCAGATTCTCTCCATGACCCCTTCAATTCTGGGGTCTTTGCTGTAACTGAAGCTGCACTTTCACCTATGGCCTTTCCTGGCCTCTCAGAGTGCCAAGCCTCAGCTGCTCTCTGTGACCCCTTCACGCTTTCAACACCAGAACCATGCAGGAGACTCTTACACATTACCAAGTCCTGCTTCCAGCTTGAAATAGAGGTGCGGGTCCCCTCTGTGTGCTGACCCTGAGGAAATACCTCCCAGAAGACTCCACCACAGTGATGCTGGTCTCTTGTTACTTACAGCTGATTTTTCAGCCCCAGCTAACCAGCATCAATTGTTCGAGTAAAGCAAAGGTTTTACTTCAGGTTCTGGTCTCTTCTTAATCACAGCTGATTTTTCAGCCCCAGCCAACCAGTATTCTCAGGCCCTTAAACCTGAGGGGACTTTAGTAGGCACTGGAGGAGAGAGGCCACTGGCTCTCCTCGTGCATCTCTTTTGTATCTGGGTTGTTTTCTGCTTGTTTCTGCGGCGCTGGGCATGGAATCCAGGGCCTTGTACAAGTGCAGTACCACTGAGCCTCCCCCCCAGCCCTTGTACCTGCATTTGGCTGTGTTTCTAGGCCCTGCCTTTCCCACCACCTCCTCACACAGGTCTGAGAAGACAGTGCAGACTCAGTCTATGCAAGATGTTCAGTGCACCACGCACATTCCAGTCCCCTGGCAGGTGTGCCCTGAAGCCATCACTGCAACTTGCAGAGGACTACAAAAGCATCTGGCATCTGTAACATCACAGACTTAAGACTTTGTCACAGCCTCACTAGACATTTGTCAGCACCGAGAGAACTGGGTGGAAGAGACTACAGGGCTGTTCCGCCTTACTGGAGACTATTGCTGTGGGTTTTGAATTCTGAAATCGGATAGGTCTCAAGTCAGATCCCACCTGGCCACCAACCCTGGCCTGAGCTTATTTCTTCATTTGACAAATGCTGGGGTGTTGGTCCACAACATGGTAAGCAGAAGCAAGCAACACAAGCTATCTATTCCCTAAGGAATTAATTGGATTAGCTTGCATTAGCGTGACAAAATACCTGAGATAATCAACTTGAAAGGAGGAAAGGTTTCTTTGGTTCAGTTTCCATCCATAGATACCTGTGCTGCTCTGGGCCTGTGGTGGCACAGTGCATCACTGGAGGTATATGACAGAGCAGGCCTGTTTGTCTATGGCAGACAGGAAGCAAAGAGAGAGGGAGGACAATGTCAGGGTCTCCATCCTCTTCAGGACCACACCCCTAATGACCCAACTTCCTTCCTCTGAGTCCGGTCTCCTAAAGCTTCCATCCTTCCCATAGGAACACAGGCTGGGGACCCATCACATGGGCCTTTGGGAGACACCCCAAGTTTAAAGTGTACTGATCACCTATCTTCTTCCTAGCTGTCTCCAGTACCACTTTCAGATGTACCTAATACATAAACTCTAAGGGACTGAGCTGCTAGAAAGCTAGGTGGTTGTTGTCAAAGGCTTTATGAAGGGGTTAATTCATGTTGAGAACTATTTTGTAACTATTTTGTCTGATTGGGTTGATCATAATAAAATGGACAGGTCACATATGTAGATGACAGCTGACCCTCCCTTAGGATACAAGAATGACCCTCAGACCTTCCCTGCAAGGAGCAAGGTTGCAGGCTGGGGCTCTAACTCAGTGGTAGAGTGCTTACATAGCACACAGGAGGCCAAGTCTGAGCCCCAGCTCTGTAAAAAATGAAACTAACACTGCATGTGGTTTCAACATGGCCAGTGAGACACAACTAGCCCAGTCCTAAATTCAAAAACTGATTTTCAGTGTCTAAGACTTGCAGATCTAAGGGTATGAGATTGTCCTGACCCCAAAACCATGTTCTGCAAGTTGTATTTTTTGCTATTTCATATAAAATTATTGTAGTGAGAGATGTGAGGGAAGGGGATCAATAGTATTAACAGGAACATTTCCAATACTGTCTTCTCCTGCCTCTTCCAAAGCTTCAAATTTTTTAAAAATTACTTTTATGTGTATGAGTGTTTTGCCTGCCTGTATGCAAGTACCCCACCTGCGTGCATGCCTGTGGAGGCCGGAAGAGGGTGTCTGATCCTCTGGAACTGGAGTTACAGTTGTTGGCCACCATTTGGGAGCTGAACTGGTCCTCTATAAAGCAGTCTATTAATTGCTGAGCCATCTCTCCACCCCAAAGTGTGCTTTTCTTTTTTTTAAAAAAATATTTTTATGTGTATGTATTGCCTGCATGCATGTAAGTACACTCGTGTCATGTAATGCCCATAGAGGTCAGAAGGGGGTGTTAGACCCCCTGGAACTGAAGTTACGGACAGTTGTTATCCACCATGTGGGTGCTGGGATTTGAACCTGGGTCCTCTGCAAGAGCAGCCAGTGCTCTGAACTGCTGAGCCGTTTCTCCAAGTGTTCTTTTCTTTATGAAGGTCTAATCCTCAGGATGTATGCTCCTGTACAGTGTGGGACACTGGAGTGCATATGTGCATATGTCTGGACATATGTTGTGCTCACTTGTGTTTCTCCCTATAGCTAAAGACAGTGAGATGCAGGTGACTTCTCTGCACGTCAGACAGTGCATCGCCATCTTCAGTCCAGGAGAAAAGGAAGACTCGGCTGTACCTGAACATGCTGGGCGGAGTCTGGGAGGAGCAGCTGAGGTCTTGGAGCACAGTTTGAGGACAGTCTGACTCCCCCCTAAGGCACCTGGAAGGGAAACCTGCTGCTACAAGAACACAGCGATGCGATGTGATGAACACTTTTATTTACAAATATAATTAAAAGCCCCGACAGTTAATCATGCTCTTCCTTGGAACCTGAAAAATGGTTTTTGAATTTTTGTTTTAAAGTGCATGCAAAAGAAGTAAAGCCTTTTTTTTTTCATCATTTTTTATTGTAAGAAAATACACAGTTTGAAAGTGTGAATAATGCAATATTTATGACCAAAGATATGGGACTCAGGAAGGGGAAGGAGAAATAAAGAAACAGGTCAAGATGATCTGATTGAAAAGACAAGTATTGAACTCGAGACTGAACTGGAAAAGGAGGGGGTGGGGGCGGGGGAGGAACAGGAGGAGGAAGTAAAAAAATCTTGATCAGAGAAACAGTTAAAATACAATATGAAAATAAGTAATACCTCTCCTTAAATTCCTTCTATACACAAAATACATGATTTGCCAAAGCCCAATTTGTGCTACTGGGATTCTGTGAGCTCCTTGGGTGTATTCGTATCCTCTGCAACGGCAGAGAATGGCAGGGTACAGTAGAATAGGCCGAAGACAAGGTAAACTCTTGCCAGCAGGTTCTTAAAAATCACAAGATCTCTTCACCCCCCCCCCGGCCCCAAAAAAGTAATAATATGTCATCACGGATATGTACATCACAATTAGTTTCTGTAAAATGTATCAAATTCTCAATCTTTAATAAAACTTTGTTTTTTTTTTTAATTCCTGATGAATAAATACCAAAAAAATAAAATAAAATAAAGTTATGCAGCAGCTGGGTAAGGTGTAAGGCTGCGGATTTTGTGTCTCTCTCCCCCTTGGCATTTATTATTTACTTCTAGTTTTTTTTTTTGTTTTTTTTTTTGCTTTACTTTCACAGATTGGTGGCAATGATGGATTGCCTAATGCACTATCCATCCGTGTTTTCGTCGTCATTGTTGGTTGATCTTGTTAAAACCATCTCTGAGGTTTCCATGGAAACATTTGTGAGTCACATCAGTACTGTGATGTAGACTGTGATCAGCAGGACAGCCGGGTCTTGGCCAGCTCTGAAAGTTGACACGGGGGAGGAAAGGGCCCCTGATGGAGTAAGAGTAAACAGGCACTAGTCCGACACGATGTCAGGAAGAGAGAGGGGGGGGAGAGGGAGAGAGAGAGAGAGAGAGAGAGAGAGAGAGAGAGAGAGAGAGTGAGAGCAACGCCCGTCAAAATGGGGAATGTAGTTTTGTAGGGTCTGAATTTTTTTGTTTTCTTTTTTCTTCTTTTTTCTTTTTTTTTTTTCTTTTTTTTTTTGTAAATGGCAAAAAAATTTAATCTCATCTATAGTCCTCCTTAGGAAAATCTAATGTGACCAGATTCCCAAATCCCATTCTGAGGCTCTCCATGTCGAAAGTTTCCATCTCTCGCTCTTGTCTTTCCAAGAGGATCTTGATTCTCTCGCTGCGTTCCTTCTGCAGGGCGGCCAGCTCCTCTTCAATCTGTGACAAGCACAGGGAGTGGACCTGAGTGCAAGCCTGGTCAGAACTGTGGGAGGTCCACATGCACCCACAGCACATGCATACAGGAGCAGGGAAAAGCCTAGACACACGAGTGGGTGGTGGTAGGGGAACTAGACACATACAGGAAAGAGAAGCCTAGACACACACAGGAGGGGGGTCTAGACGCACATAAGAGGAGGGGCCTAGAGGCACACAAGAGGAGAGGTCCAGACACAGGAGGGGGGCCTAGACACACATAGGAGGGGAGTCTAGACACACACAAGAGGAAGGGCCTAGATGCACATGGGGGCGGGGGGACCTAGGCACAAACAGGAAGGGGTCCTTGATACACACAGTGGGACACTAAGACACATACAGAAGTAGGGAGGAATATAGACCTTGGGAGGTCAGGAGGTCCAGATGATAAGAGTCTCAGACTTTATCCATTGTGTCTTGAACTTGCTACAAGGATAAAATGCTGGGGGGGGGGCAGTGCTATTTGAGCCTGGGCTGATCTAGGTCAAGGTCCTCCCTCAGCAAAAGGTGGCTCAGGAAGAACCCAGACACTGGAGCGCAATGAGCCAGTATGATTTTCCCACGGAGCATCTGAGCCTCCAGTGCCTGTAGGAACACAGTCCTGGAACAGTCGCAGGGAAAGTGGCTGCTATACTGTCTCAGGGAGGAGGGGCAGGAAATGAGGACAGGCACAGAGCTGTCAGAAGCTTTGAGATGGCGTGCGTGTGTGTGTGTGTGTGTGTGTGTGTGTGTGTGTGTGTGTGTGCGGGGGCCAGAGGATAGCCTTGGGTTTCACTCTTTGGGCACCATCCACTTTGGGTTTTAATGCCCTCTCAGTGGCCAATCAAGCTAGGCTTCCTGGCCAGTGAGCCCCAGGATCATGCTATCTCTGCTTCTCAAGTGCTGGGATTACATGCACAACCACACCTGGTTTAAAAAACATGCACCACCACACCTGGTTTAAAAAAAATATTTTTGTTATGTGTGTGTCTGCCTGTGTAAGTTTATGTGCACCATGTGCATGCAGTGACTGCAGAGACCAGAGGGTGTCAGATTCCCTGAAACTGGAGTTGTAGGTGGTTCTGAGCTGCCTGATACAGGTGCTAGGAACCGAACCTGGGCCCTCTACAAGAGCACTAATTGCTCTTGACCACTGAGCCATCTCTCCAGCCTCTTTTTTTTGTTTTTTTTTTTTAATGTGGGTGCTGGGTATCGAACTCAGGTCCTCATGCTTGCACAGCAAGCACCTTACCTATTGAGCCATCCCCTCAGCCCCTGCTTTGAGATGTTTTATGTCACGGTTTCCATTTCACATTCCCTAGAATACTGTCTAGGTCAAGGAGTATTCCAACTGGTTAACACTGATTCTATCTATGTGCCAGTACCTGCCTCTCTTCATCTTCATTCTTAAAGAGCCCCGCCAGTGGTTTTGCTTGAAAATGCTGGAAAATCAAATTGTATTTGACTTTCTCAGGCCACTGGACAGCCATGCTGGTGGCTGATAGCTCTTCTGTAAGTGCTATCAACCAGCTGGGAGGCTGAGGGCTTCCTAGTGGAGGAGCAGAAATACTTAATCATAGACCCTTCCTGAGCCTTGGCATGGTGGCTCAGGCCTGGGGACAATGCCTGCCTTTCCTCAGTACTAGGGGGAGAACAGAGGTGATGAGTTGACAGTTTGACTCCTGGTCACCAGGGAGCGCTCCATACGTGACCTTGACCCCCACCCTGCTGCATGCCGGGCCCCCGGAAGCTACCTACCTTCTGCTCCAGATGTGCTCTGCGCAGAGACACCCTCTGCTCTAGCTTCTGCAGTTCACGCTCATGCTGGGCTTCTGTCTGCATCTTGATTTTGCTCTGGTAGGCATTGAGCAGCTCCATCTCCTGCTGGAGCTGTAGCCTCAAGGCCTGGCATTCTGCCTCTTGAGCCTCGTCTAGCCGTAACTGTGGGTACAGAAGACACATGCTATAACTCAGCCTGTGCTCACTACCCCTGGGGACAATGGGAGGAGATCTCGCACGGACTGAGACAGTCTGACTTGGAAAAACAAAGTCTAGGGACATTCACAACTAGGATCAGAGCCAGTAGAGTCTGCCCAGCAGCCCCCAGAGTCCTGAGACCACCTCAGTATGACTTGAGATCCCAGCAGCAGGTGCCAGGAAGTCACACCAGTGACTAAGCCCATGACCTCTGGAGGTGAACCGGTGAGCCTGAGGCCTGGCTCTACCAATCACTTCATTGTGGCACCCTGACAATTATACAGCCTCTCTTGGTCTCCTTTTCTCTCTCTTTTTCATTTCAAGAAAACAACATAATAATTCTAAGATTAGTATGTGTTTTCGGGGGAGGGAGATAAGGTCTCACTATATAGCTCTGGCTGACCTGCAAATTGCTATGTAGTTGAGGCTGGCTTTGAACTCACAGAGATTCACCTGTCACCTGCCTCTGACTCCTGAGTACTGGAAATAAAGGTGTGTTACCATGCCCACTTGATTGATGTAAGGTTTTTGTTTTTCTTCTTCTCTTCCTTTTTTTTTTTTTTTTTGAGACAGGGTCTCTCTGTAGTCCCAGCTAGCCTGGAACTCACTATGTAGACCAGAATGGCCTTTGATCTCCCAGGGATTCACTTGCCTCTGCCTGAGATTAAAAGCATGCACCATCACACCTGGTTGGCCTAAATTTTAAATGAAAGAATCCACATAAGATCCCAGGCACAGGACTCTGTACACCATAAATGTTCAATAAACAGTACTTGCTATCATTGTTTTGGTTCTGATAAGACCATGTCCATATTAAAATAGCCACAAAACAGAAAAGCCATTTAGCTCTGTGTAGCGTTACATGAATGAATCCTATAGTCCCACAACTTGACCTGCTGGCCATGGCCCTTTGCTCTCGGCCAATCCAGAACCTCAGGGGTTCCAAATCTCTTTCCTGGAGGACAGCCCATAATCTCGGGGGACACATTTTGCTTTGAAGCACTGGAATTTAGATAATAAACACAGCCTGACCCAGTTCTCTTTGCTTCTAGTTGCACCTGAACTTTGTATTTCACACCAAGATGCCCAGCTCTTGTGCAGAGATGGGACATCCCGCCTCCAGAAATGCCAAGGCCTGAGTGCTCAGAGGTGAACACGTTGGATCATTAGCAGGACAGAGGTTGGCCCCCAGTCCTGGGCTGGGGCATGTCCCCACAGCAACCCCTGAGTTGGTCTGGGAACACTGAGGTCAGAGTCCTTGAGTCAGATAGCTTGGGTACCCTGAGTTTCTCGGCACCTGTCTACACAGGCTGTTTCCCAGTAATCCTCATTCTTCACCTTATCTATAACTGTGACTGTGAGAGTTGACAATGTACTACAGCATCTGGAGTGAGAAATGACTACTGGAGATGTTACATCAGAGTCCTTTTAGAAGGTTATTGGCAGAGGACCTTCCTTAGGACTAATAGATAAATAAGCTTTAGAGATTAAAGGGATATAATCTAAATTATGTTATTGTATTTCCAAGATGCCTCCTAGTATCCACACTAAGCAATCTGTGCTAAAACCCACCAGAGAGGCCAGACATTCTTTTTCCCATTGGAGAAGGCAGGCAGAGTTGCTAGACACACAGTCAGTATGTAGCCAGAGTGGCCGAAAATGATTTCAAAAGACTGTGGCTTCCAGCCTGAACTGCTTATGGATTCCCTCTGATCTGAGAGATTCCTTACCAGGAAAGAGACAGCCCAGTCTTTCTCTACTCTGAAACATCTGCTATGAGCCCTGTGTGAATGGTGGGGAGGCTCATCTTATGGGAAACTTAGACCACAGAAGTATCTCTACTTTCTTTTGAGACAGGGTCTCATGTAGTCCAGGCTAGCCCTGAACTTGCTATGTAGCCAAGGATAACCTTGAATTTTGGATCCTCCAGTCTCTACCTCCCAAGTACTGGGAGAGCACCAAGGATGGGCACTATATGCATGTTGTAAGGGCATGAAATATGAGGGCTTGGGGGGAGAGCCTAGAAGGAGTTCATACTGTGCTAAGGCTTTTTTTTTTTTTTTTTTTTTTTTTTTTGCAGTGCTGAGGATGAAGCCCTGGGCCTCCACTTGACAAGCACTCTACCAACTGTGCTACATCTCAATCCTCCCCTTTTGCTTCTGGCGCTCAGCTCGTCAGTCACGAGGTTCTGTGCTGGCTCTGACTACAGGAGTCCCAGTGCTAGAAATCAGATGAATTCCAGAATCTGGAACTTATCACAGTTACAGTGTACACCTACTAGAAAGTTTATAATCACATAGGCGAATACCATGTTTGCTTCCTACAGTGGCTTAAACAGGAGAAAGGTACAAGAGGGGAGCAGAATTTAGCAGTGGTCTGTTTAGCATGCAGATCACAAGCTCCTCCCCAAATTGACCGGAGTCCAGGTTCTATTAGCAGTGATGTGACACGCACCCTCCCACCCCCAACCAGGAACTGGAAGGCTACAGCCCACAGGCCAAATGTGGCTAGTGTCTGTGTTTATAAATAAAGTTTTATTGAGGCACACAAGTACACTCATGACTTCCAGCTGCTTCTGTATTACAGTAGTAGCAGGCTGGCTAGTAACAGACACCCTGGGGTCCATAAAGCTTCACACATATATGATCTGACCCCTACAGAAAAATGTGCTACCTCCTGCCCTAAACCAAATGGCTTTCCTTCAGTGCCTCAGGTTCTCAGAGGAAATGAGGGATGCTTACAGAATAGAGTTTCACAGGGACTGCTTCAAAGGGGTTACACTGATAGCATGTGGCTAGTGATGCACAGCTATGATGGACATACCTAATCTGACCTCTCTCCTGTTTCCTCTTGATCTGCATTGCTCACCCTGTGTCCTCCATCTTATATAACAAGTGCTCATTGGACACTTGCTGCATAGGCCAGGAATCACCACAGATGCTATGATAACTAATGAGACAGATCGGGCTGTGGATGTGGCTTATTGACACAGTGTTGCCTAGCATGCACGAAGCCCTGGATCCATCCCTAAGCCTGAATAAACTGGGCATGGTGGTGCATGCCTAGAATCCCAGCAATTGGAAGGTGGAGGCAGGGGGATCAGAAGTTGAAGGTTATCTTTGGCTCTGTAGCATCTTCTAGGCCAGCCTGGGCTACAAGAGATCCTGTTAAAAACAAAACAAAATAAAAATGAACAACAAGACAGGAACCCACACACTGCTATGTTCCCATGGTCTTTCTGTCCACCTCTTAATTCCTGCTTTTCCCTCATTCCAGTCTGATCCTCTTTGACCTAAATTGATCACACTCAGGTCACCAGTCATCTCTGTGAGTGGCCCTTATCTGTCCTCACCTCCCAGCAGTGTTTGCCACTATGGACTGCCCCTTCCTTGAAATTCCTTGCTTTTAGCCATGAGCCCCTATGCACCTGCCAGTGTCTTCCCCCCTTTCCCCTTCCCTCCCCACTGTTTGCCCCCTTTCCAGCTATGAAATGTGGGTGCTCTAGGGGCTTCATCCAGGCTTCTTTTCTTAGGCTCTCACTACAGACCAGTCAGCCCCAGTGCATCATTTATCATCTGATGCTCTAATGCTGGTTTCCATGGCCTGGGAGAGGCGCATTTCAGCCCTTCCCTACTGAAGCGGGGAGGCATCTGTTCTCTTTCCTCCCCTGGCTTCTCATGCCTGTCTGTTACTAGAGAAAGCTTCACCCAGCTGCTTCCCAGGTGCTCAACGTAGCCACTAGGAACTCAACTTTTCTGCTTCCCCCTTCCCTAGTCTGTTTTATGGCCATTTTGTCATGTGAGTAAAAAGCACCCTCACCTCAACCCAGAAGCTTGGGTTCCTGCTCAAGCCTCCTTCTGCATCCCTGTCACCAAGGGCTCTTCACTTGACCTCTTGCCTAGTTCTCAAGCACGGTCACCACTCACTTTGTCCCAGTGCTCCATCTCTAGTGTAGTCACTATTCTCTCAACCCACCTAGGTAAGGGCAGCTGCATTACCAGCCGTTGTGGTCCCTGGCCATTCTACATGTGTTTGGAGTGATGGTCACCCAATAGCAATCTGTTGCTAAATCCCCTTCTCTACACGCTCCAGGCCACTGCTCTGAGGCTAAAGACAAATATTCTGAAAGCCTGCAAGCTCCCCTATGACCACCTGCCCCCTGTGCACCCTTCCTGCCTTATTCCCAGGCTAGACCTCTCTTGGCTTTGGACATTCCAGACAGAACTGATGTCTATGAGTTCTTCAAGTGGGTTTTCCCTCTGCACCTGTAGCTCCTCAGCCTAGATAACTGAAGTGGAGAGGTTGTTGCTGCCTCTGCAGAGCAGGCTAGCCTTCTAGCTCCACTGCTGCCTTGGTCTACCACATGCGGAGTAGCCTTTTCCCAATGGTCCTCCATTCTCCCATATATTCTGGGAGGACCAGATGGAGCAAGTCTTAGTCACCATGGCATCCCAGGATGCCTGGAGCACAGTGCAGACATTCACAAATACTTGCTAGATGGATGAATGAATGAATGAGTGCCATAGCACTCATCCTCAGCCTAGGACCACTTGAGCCCCTCCCAGTTGGCAGAAGGTTCCTTTAACTGTCTCTCCTCTTGTTACAGGTCTTTGTTTGCCTCTACTGACTAGGATGGGAAAGATGGACTCATATGCAGTCTCTTCCTCTTGCTCCCTCTATTGATTTTTGAGACAGGGTTTCATGTAGCTCAGGCTGGCCTCAAGTTTGCCATGTGGCCAAGGATGACCTTGCATTTATGATCCTCTTGCCTCTCTACCTCTCAAGTGCTGGGATCATACGGATGTGCCGCTGTGCCAGGTTTATGCAGTGCTGGGGAATCAAACCCAGAGTCTCACGCATGTGAGGCAAGCAGTCTACCAAACGAGCTACCTGCCCAGGTCGCCCTTTTGATGCACAAGAATGTCTCCCATAACCACTGTTCTACTGCAAATGGCCAAAGCCACTGCCATCGCTGGGGGCTCCCCGAGGTTTGCTGCTCTTGCTTGGACTTTGCATATTTGAAACCTTCAGTGAGAACCTTGACCCTGGCAGCTGGAACTTGCTCCCTCCTGGTCCCCACCAGTCTTGGGTGCACACCATCTTTGACTTTGTCTATTCAGCCTTCAGATGTGAGTGTCTACCAGATCCTGTTCTCAGCCTCCCTCTCTAATCCCATTCCCTATCCCTCATAGCTCTCACTCCTAACAGTTACAACCACCCTTATATGGCAAAGGTGTGGAACTGCTGGTCTTTAATCCTGGAGAGCCTTCTGAGCTACAGATTTCCTAATCTGTCTCCATATGGACACCTCCACAGCTCAGATGTCACAATCACCTTCCCAGGTGTCCTGACTCACCTCTCCTTCCCTTTTTAGGGAAGGAAGGTCCTCTTGTTAAGATAACCACTACTCCAGTCACTCAGTTCTATCTACCCCCAAGTGTTCCTCAAACCCACTCTCTCTTTATCACTCCATTTGCCTGCCTCCTTCTCTCTCTGGTGCTGTGGGTGGAACCCAGGACTCATAGTAAGTACCCACTTGACCACTGAGCCTGACCTAGCATTAGTTCAAACCATTATTATTATTATTATTATTATTATTATCATTATTATTATTTTGTAGCATACATATACATCTTTTTAACTGTATTTGCTACAGGAATACCAATACCATTCTATGGTACAAATCCTGTCCTGTTACTTTTCTTCTTAAACAAGTGTCAGCAGCTCTCCATTGTTAGAGAATAATGACTCATTTCCTGCTTTGGGGGCTCTGACCCTCACTACCCACCCACCCAACCTTTCTCAAAGGTTTCTGCTTTGACGGTGGCTTACTGCTTCTCAGACACACAGCCTCCTTTGGGCCCTCTGCTAGGACTAACTTGTGGTAAACCAGTGGCCTTTAAGACCTGTGTTCCTGGGATACCTTCACTGGATTATCTGACAAGCTCCATCCCAGGCTTAACGACACCCTGGTATCCTGAGCTGTGGAGAACCAGGGCTAGCCTGGGAACATGATAGGAGGGGTGCTCTTGGTTCCTAGAACCCTTTCTTTTTCCTTCCTTTCCTTCCCTCCCTTTCTCCCTCTTTCCCTTCTTCCCCTTCCCCCCACTTCCTGCCTTCTGTTTTACAGTGCTAGGGATAGAAACAAGGGTTGGTGCAAGTGGTCTACCAATGAACTACATCCTCAGCCTTTGTTTCTGTAAGATGGTCTTGCTATGTGTCTCAGGCTGGCCACTCACAATCCTCCAGCCTCAGTCTTCTGAGTGCTGGGATCACAAGTGTGTACCACCACACCCAGCCCAATCCTCCTTGAAGGCTGGGTTCACCTTCCAGCTCCGTGAGCCCACAGACACTCTCTGTCACATGGACCTTTGCCTACGTAGGTCCCGTTTGCTTGGATGACTTCGGTTAGGCCTCCAGGCTTCCCCAGACCAGCTTCCTGTTCCTTCTTGTCCTCCCACAGCCCCCAGCACTCCCGCAACTAAGCACTTACTGTGCTGGGTTATTCCTGCTCCATGATCTACTTCCCGGCTTCCTTGACGCAGCATGAGACACCCCCACCCCCACCCCCCCGCTATCTCCCACTCTGTCTCTGAGCCCGGCACAGCTCTGGACACAGAGGCTTAGCAGAGTTTATTGAGCAAAGGCGTCTGTGTGTGTCCCTGGCTTGACTGTGAGCGTGGTGGGAACGGGGCCCACGTCTCACTCATTGGTGCCTGACATTAGTCGGGGTTGTGGCTGGTAAACCTTGGATAATCAAGCATATACACACACATGGTATCCATCCCATCTTGCCCTCCCTATGTGTGCCACTGGACTGGACTGGCGTGCCATTCCTTGAGCTCCATCTTATAAGACACACTCCAGCGAGTATCCACACGGGCTTGGCTTTATTCAACGTCGTCATTTCCTCCGTTCCTCAGGCAGAAAAAGAAACCACCAATATATCCTAAATTTGTGCAAGACGCAGCTTGGGAAGCAAAGGCCGGATCTTGACTTTTCTTGACTCCCAAAAGCTCTGGAAGGCGTGGCACCAGACCTACCCACTTACCGCTTGCGAGGCCATCATCTCATTTATGCTCTGTTCATACTGCTCTGCCAAAATGGCGAGTTTTCTTGTCTGCTCGTCTTTCAGTGTCTTTAAGATTGTTTTGTGCTCATTCTTTGGAGTAACTTCCAACTGGTGATTCTTGAGTGCTTTATACTGTTTGGTCTGTACTTTGCAAGTGTCCTGAAACTGTTTTTTAATTTGCATTTCCATGGCCTGGTAGAATGACAAAGAGAAAAATAAAGGTGCGTCAGTCTTTCTACAGGGAAAGCCTTGGGCTATGATGATGCCGTACAAGCTTTGCACCCGGTGGCCAAGCATGAAGAAAGTAACACGGATGACACAGACCAGATTTAACTGTACCGATGCTTGGGTGTTATAGTCTTCAGTGGTTCCACTCTTTGCTGTTTTCCTTTCCTTTGTGTGTGTGTGTGTGTGTATGTGTGTGTTTGCACATTTGTGCACAAGCATGTGGAGGTCAGAGGACAACCTCGGGTACAGTTTTTCAGGTGCTATCTTTTATTTAAAAAATACGGATCGTTTCATGAATTTGTGTATCGTCCTTGCATAGAGACCTTGCTTATCTTTTCTGTATTATTCCAATTTTAGCATGTGTGCTGCCAAAGAGAGCACTCTATCTTTATTTTTGAGACAGGGTCTGTCACAGGCCCGGAGCTCACCAGGTAGGCTAGGCTGGGTGGCTGGCCAGCCCCAGGGACACCACCCCCCATCTCCATCTCCCCAGAGCTGGGATTATAGGGGATCAAACTCAGCTCTTTGTACTTTCAAGACAGAGCTCTCCTGACTGAGCCACCTCCCCAGCCCTCCTCACTCATTACAGAATATGGGTGAGGAACAGCTCAGGAAGATGAGGGATCCTTGTAGTACAGCAGCATTCCGAAACCACTGGGTAGCTAAGCAGAGCCTTGGACTTGACACCTGGGGTTCTGGTTCTGCTGGGCTTGGCCTGGGCAATGCTGAGTCTGCAAAGGGGCAGGTGTCCACCTTGTGGCATTGCAGAGCTCCTTCCCACCTACCTTTAAGTTTTTTGGCTGTTGCCGGAGCTCCATGACGTGCTTCCTGTGCAGCTCCCGTTCCCGCCTCTTATTGTACTCCAGCTGGTTTTCCAGTTCAGTCTGGTGCTGTAGACGGATCAGATCCATGCGAAGCTTCTGTAACGTGTGCAGCTGCCTGTACTCTAGTTCTCGGGTGGACTCATCGTGCCGGATCAGCATGGCGTGCTCCATTTCCTTCTGGGTCCTCTTCTTGTTTAGTTCCTGCACCCAGGAACAAAAGATGGAGAGATGAGTAGAGGGGACCTGGAAGGGATGCGCAGCCTGGTGAAGGAGGTGCTAACTGGCTCATACTGAAGTCCATTAGTGTTTGTAGCATGACTTAATGAGATGGGAGGCACAGTCCCTGGAGCTTTGGGTTCTGTGATGAGTTCACCACTCAACATATTCCCCACAGTCACAAATGTACTATCTGAAAAATGGAATTAATCCTCCCTGGCTCTCTCCTTTCTTTCTTTCTTTCTTTCTTTCTTTCTTTCTTTCTTTCTTTCTTTCCCCTCTTCTTTCCTTCCGTCTCCTCTCTTCTTCCTCTTTCTTTCTTCCTTTCTCTTTCTTTTCCTTCCTTTCTCCCTCTCCCTCTCTCTCTCTCTCTCTCTCTCTCTCTCTCTTTCTCTCTCTCTCCCCCATTTTTTTTTTTGGCCTTTTTGAGACAGGATCTCCCTGCAGCCCCAGCTGTCCTAGAACTCAACTAAGTAGACCAGGCTGGCCTTGAACTCACAGAGATCCACCCACCTCTGCCTGGGATTAAAGGAATGCACCATTATGCCAGGCCCCCTGGCTCTTTCCTAACTTGCACAGCTGTGGTGGCTCTTGGGCAACACCCTATGCCTGGGTGTACTTAAACTAGTGGCTCCCCAGCTGCCCACTAAAATAACATGAAGAAACCAATTAAATATTCGACACTTAACCTCCATACCCTCAAATTCTGTTAACTATATGGGATCCCAATGTCAATCATTAAAATTTTTTTTTTATTTTAAATTTTATTTTATGTGTATGAGTGTTTTGCCTGCATGTATGTAAGGGCATCTGTGTTGTACAATGCCCAAGGAGGTCAGGAGAGGGCAATGGATCCCCTGGAACTGGAGTTACAGATGGATGTTTGCCACCATGTGGGTGCTGGGAACTGACCTGCATCCTTTATAAGAGCAGCCAGTGCTCTCAACCACTGAACCATCTCTCCAGCCCCCAGACGCCCTCATGTAAATCTTAAAGCTTTCTCCATGAGACTATGCTATACAACCACTGTCGAGAATTAAACTGCTAATGTCTGTGATACCCTTGGATTTCTGGGAAATATCCTGTGTTTGTACAGGGCAGAAGTAGGCCAATTATCAATTTTTTAAAAAGCAGAGTCCAGGGCATGCTGGGATAGGGCAGAGGGCACTCTCCCTTTCATCTTCCCATCACAGGCTATCTGATCTTTCCACTAATCACTTAGTCCTTCTCAGGTCTTTTATCTGTGGTGCTGATGTCTGAAACTGGGGCCTTGCATGTACGAAGAGGTGCTCTGCCACTGAGCTATGTCCTAGCCCTCTTTTCTTTACTATCCATGTAAGCCTGATGATTTTTCTCCTTCCTTCCTTCCTTCCTTCCTTCCTTCCTTCCTTCCTTCCTTCCTCCCTCCCTCCCTTCCTCCCTCCTTCCCTTCCTTCCTTCTTCCTGTAGAAGTGGGGAAGGACTGCACACTAGAAAAAAAAAGTTGGATAAAACTTTGAGATTATTTCAGTTTTTCCTCTCCTGAAACTGCCACCCCAGGCCATGCACTTTCCAGGCACCAGCTCTACCACTGAGCTACATCCCCAGCCCTTAAGACTGGTCCTAGAGGCACTAGTCATACAGAGATTTGGATACACACCAATGCTTACTAAGCTATGACTGCTACCCTCAACCCGGGGACACTCTAATAGTGAAGTGTGACAGAGACTTGTTGGAATGTGCACGGGCCCACAGCAGACTGGATTGAGGGGCAGGGAGCCTAACTTGGGCCAATCTATTTTCTCTCCTAGGAATTTGAGCTAATCTCTTGGTGGCTGGAGTGATGGCACACCAGAACTACATACAGGGTGCTCACCTGCTGCTACAAGGGCTGAGGACTAGAGCAAGCAGGGACTAAATTCTTGTCGGAGCCCCTGATGGCTGCTAAGCCCATCTCCAAGTCCAGCTGTGCTGATGGCTATTGAGTTTCTCAAGGACGATTCCCGAATTCTCAAATAAGTTTCAGTTGCCATGCAAGCAAAAGAATACTAATTAATACACATGAATAAGTTGTACTTATAAACTGAAAAGAAAAAGAAGTAAGACTGGAAGAGGTAAGGGCTCGAGGAAAGGTTAAATGCCACAAAGTTTCTGAAAAAGGGCCTCCTTATGAATTGAGAAGATTAGTCAGGTGTGGTGGCACACACCTTTAATCCAGCACTCAGAAAGGCAGAGAGGTGGATCTCTGTGAGACCAAGGCCAGCTTGGTCTACACAGGGATTTCCAGGCCAGCTGGGCCCATATGGAGATCCTGTCTTTAAAAAAAAGATGTAGCTAGCTCTGGGATACCTGGGATACTTGGAATGGGAGGGGCAGGATGCTTCTTCCTCTCTTCTTCCCTCTCTCCCTCCCTCTTTTTCTCTCTCCATATCTGTGAGGGGAGAAGACGCAAGCCATTTGTGTTTACAGGGATGTGGGGGGCCATTCTCTCAGTGGCTGAGAGAATCTGGCATACCTGGGCCCTCCATCCATTGAGAGGGAAGCCCTTTAATCAGCTTATCTTCTAGCACCAGAGTACAGAGAGTAGCCATAGAGCATTCATTCATTCCCTCAGCAAACATTACTGGCATGTGTTATGCACTGGGCACCTCGCAGGCACAGGGATTTGACTGGAACAGAGGTAACCCTTTAAGGGCTCTCAGTGTAGAACAGGTAAAGCACAAACAGGAGTTCAGTGTTTCAGTGAATGAGGTAATCTTGCTGAACATCTTTCTCCTGGTTCTAGGCTTGTCTTTCCATTTTATTTTTTTTTCCACCTGGGCCACCAAATACCTTCTTTCAAAGATCAGCAAGTTGTCCCTAGGTGGCACCACAGGAAAATGAGCCCTTCTCATAGAGAAGGGGATCCCAGACCAAGAAGTCAAAGCCAAGTAGAGTGAGTGAAAGCCCCAGTTCCATGGAACTGTGTCATTGTGACCTTGAAGTTTAGGAGTCCCAATGCTGGACAGTTTTATTTACACACTTACCTAAATCAAGAAACCCAAACTGGGCTGGAGAGATGGCTCAGAGGTTAAAAGCACATGCTGCTCTTGCTGAAGGCCTGAGTTCAATTCCTAGCACCCACACGGTGACTAACAATCATCTATAACTCCAGTTCCTCTTCTGACCTCCACAGGCACCAGGCACACACATGGTACACATATTTATATGTACGGAAAACACTCATACACATAAAAAAAAAGTTCAAACTGAATTCAAGTTGTCTAAAAATAAAATACACCAAGCAAACACTTTTAGTGTAGATTATGTGCTGTTCAATGGAGTAGCTTTGGATGCCAAGGCACACCTGTATCAGGATGCTCTGAATGCTGAGGGACACCTGCATCAGGATGCTCTGGATGCTGAGGGACACCTGCATCAGGACGCTCTGGAGGCTGAGGGACACCTGCATCAGGACACTCTGGATGCTGAGGGACACCTGCATCAGGACGCTCTGGATGCTGAGGGACACCTGCATCAGGACGCTCTGGAGGCTGAGGGACACCTGCATCAGGACGCTCTGGGTAGTGAGCCATTTACACCAAGCTACCCAGCTATTGTTGACTGGTGCTAAAGTTTGGGAATCAACAGAACAGTGCTCAGGTGATAGCTTTGGCTCCTCTGTCGACTGTAGCTCTGGGCAAGTCTCTACACATGTAAGCCTCCTAACATATACTTTAGTTTCTTCAGGCATGAAGTCAGGGTATCACATCCCACCTGGAACGTGTTGCAGAATGTAAGTGTGCCACTGTTTGTATTCAGGAATGAATAACTGGCACAGAATATCTTAAATCGAGTTTTCACAAACTATTAGAAACAGAAACATGATACCAAGATGGGTTTTGGTTATCCTCTATGGGCTGGTCCCTTTATCTTGACTTCATACATCTGAGCTGCTGAGATGTAGGGTGGTCAGCTGCCTATAATAGTTTCTATAAAAAATATTTTATTGCTGGGCGTGGTGGTGCACGCCTTTAATCCCAGCACTTGGGAGGCAGAGGCAGGCAGATCTCTGTGAGTTCAAGGCCAGCCTGGTCTACATAGTGAGTTCCAGGACAGATGGGGCCACAGGGAGACCCTGTCTCAAAAAAACCAAAAAAAATTTTGAGGAGGACAGAAAAGGCTGTTGGATCCCCTGGAACTGGAGTTGCAGACAGTTGTCAGCTGCCATGTGGGTACTGGGATTTGAACCTGGGTCTTCTGCAAGAACAGCCAATGTTCTTAACTGCTGAGCCACCTCTCCAGCCCCAGCTACCTATATAATAGTTTAAACAATGGGAAAACCCACGCTATTTTATTTAGCAAGAGTCCAGTGCTGTGCCTACATGACAACACACAATGTACTTTCAGTGGGTTTTATATTTAAGTGGGGGTCTTGCTATGTTGCCCAGGTTGGTTTCCAACTCCTGACTCAGGTGGTCCTTCTGTTTTGGTCTGTTTCCTGAATAGCTGAGACTTCAGGTGTGTACAACCACACCAGTTCTCAATCTTTAAAAATTGTTTCATAAAGGCTGGGCGTGGTGGTGCACGCCTTTAATCCCAGCACTCGGTATGGCAGAGGCAGGTGGATCTCTGTGAGTTCAAGGCCAGCCTGGTCTACATAGTGAGTTCCAGGACAGCTGGAGCGACAGGGAGACCCTGCCTCAAAAAGACCAAAAAAATTTATTTTATATGTCTCACCCAATTCTTTAAAAAAATTTTTTTAAAAATTATTTTATTTTATTTTATGTGTATGAGTGTATTGCCTGAATGTGTGTAAGTGTATCTGTGTCATGCAATGCCTGAAGAGGTCAGAAGAGGGCACTGGATCCCCTAGAACTGGAGTTAGGATGGTTGTTAACTGCCATATGGGTCCTGGGAATTGAACCCAGGCCCAGGTCCTCAGTAAGAATGGTCAGTGTTCTTAACTGCTGAGTTCTCTCTCCAGCCTGGTCCTGCCTTCCCTGTAGTCCCAGCTGGCCTGGAACTCACTATGTAAACCAGGCTGGTCTTGAAAGAGATCCACCTGCCTCTGCCTCCTGAGTGCTGGGATTAAAGGCAAGTGCCACTACACCCAGCTTTGGTTCTGCCTTCTTAAAAGCAGCGCAAACAGCTCATATCAAGCCTTTATCCTCATGGACAATGAGGCTGAGGAAAAACAAGAATTCAAAGCTCTATTTTTTTGGTTGTGCTGGGGTCTCAAACCCAGAGTCCCTTATTCATGCTAGACAAGTACTCTACTACTGAGCTACACTTCCAGCCTTTTAAAAATTTTATTTTGAATCTGGGTATGTTGGTGCACACCTTTGGTCCCAGCCCTTGGGAGGCAGAGGCAGGTGGATCTCTGTGAGCTTGAGGCCAGGCTAGTCTACATGGTGAGTGCCAGACCAGCTAGGACTACAAGGACACCTTGTCTCAAAAAGACTAAATAAATAAATAAATAAATAAATAAATAGATAAATAAATAAAGGACTGCTGCTATGATACTCAGTTCAGGCAGAAACATGAGAAATGATGCCTTCTTGGTAGGAGTATAGACCCCTTCAGAGGGCAACTTGGTGACTATCATCTATCAATTGTCAGGTTTGGCAGCAAGCACCTTTACCTGCTGAGCCATCTCAATAGCCCTACATAATATGTATTTAGAACTTTATATTTATGTATTCTTTGACTCAGAGATTCCATTTCTGAGAAATATTCTTCAAAAATACTTATGTATGTATGTATGAAAATGTTAATTTTTTTTCAGTACTGGTGATTGAACCCTACGGTCTCATGCATGCTAGTTGAGTGCTCAACCACTGAGCTGCCTGTATAGCCCCTAAAAATACTTATGTACAAAGATGTTCTCTGTCGTGTTGTTGGTAATGTATAAAATTTCAACAAAATGCTCACTGGGAAAAGCAGCATTAAGTAGGTGACAAAATCCTGTGGCACCAAGGCCAGGGCAGAAATCCATGTGTTTCATGGTAAATGGAAAAAGCCAAACAGTGTGGTGGGCATCTGATATTTTTGTAGGCTCAGCATCTATCTTTCCTCATTTTGTTTTTCCTTCGGATGGGGTCTCCCTAGTCCCAGTCCACACAAATGAAATTCACTGTGTAAACCAGGATTGGTCTGAGATCTGCTGCCTCTGCCTCCCGAGGGCTGGGATTAAAGGCTTGCACCACCATACCTGACATTTGCCTCATGTGTTTTATAGTGTTCCTCTCCAGCTTTGAGAAACAACTCTATTCTTTCTGGAATTGGTGTAGCATTAAGGGTGGGCACATTACCCAATCAAGTTCTCTCTCTCTTAGGAACTGAATCTGATATAGTATCAGAGCTGGAGGAGGCACATCCCAATGGCAGTGCCTAGAGGCACTGAACCTGGAGTGGGCTCCCTGAATAGACTACACTGGCCGTCCAGTTAGCCCCAGGGATCCTCCAGGTTCTGCCTCCACAGTGCTAGGATTATAGATATGCACTGCTGCACCGGGAGTTTTACTTGAGTGCTGGGGATCTAAATCCAGGCACTCATATTTACGTGGTATGTACTTCACTAAGTGCTTCACTAAGTCACCTCCTTAGCTCCATTATTATTATTTTGAGACAGCAACTTATTATGAAACCCAGGCTAGGCGCAAACTTGTGATCCTCCTGCTTCAGTCTCCTGAGTGGGTCATTTTGGCTTCTCTGTCTCAAATCCCCACAGGAAGTTATTAGAATCTCTAGCAGCTGTACTTTAGGAAGGCCCTTCTGATCTAATCTCTCCCACTGTCCCTACTACCGCTCTCCCTGCTCTGTACTCCCTAGTGCAGCCTGGGTCTCACACTGATGCGCTAACTCTTTCAAAGCACAGCCAGCACTCACCAGGTCACTCCCCTGCCTCTGATGGCTTACACTGCCTTCAGGCTACTCAGAAGGCCTGGCTTTAAACAAGGACCTTGCCTGCTGCTTCCAGTTAGCCTTTTCCTAGGCTGAATTCCACATACCCAGGCCTCTGGCTGCCTTCAACTTCCCCTCCGAGCCCCTTCTCAGCTGTACCTACAGTTAGTGTACGCATACCACTGCAGCTCGGGCAGGAGATGGTTGGACTCCATTATGTCTGTTTTCCCTCCTGGACTGAGGCAGCTAGATGGCTGCTTGAGAGCCCTGGTGTCTGCCACGAAGCCTGGCACTGTAAGCATCAGGCAACCAGTGAACACACTGCAGCACAGAGCATTATGCTGTCACTTAAGTGTTTCACAGCCCCAACAAGCAGGCCGGAAGCTAACGTTCTCTATGCTACTTTGGTTCTTCACTGTGATACGACTTACAGCAGGGCTTGTAATAACGTAACTTTTCATTTATATATAGAAAGTTGGTTCCCTGTCGTGCAAATGGGCTTCCTCTTACCAATGTCTAATTCATTCCCCGCCATGCTTTGTATACGACAGTGTGTCAGGCACTGCACTAGCAGCTAAGGGCACTGGAATGGAGGAACTGGACCCTGTCATGGGGCTCGCTGCCCCAAGCCAGCGAGAGAGGCCAGCGTGTGACAAATACCTCCCGAATATTCTGCTGCTCCACCTCGTGCCGCTTGATCATTATTTTCCGCTTGAAGAAACGACAATTCTTGTCGTAGTACAGTCTCTGCTGAGTCAGGAGGTGGGCTTCCTCTTCAGCCTGGGTGTGCTGCAGGTTCTCCTTGTGCTTGGACATCCGCTCTTGCTTCTCCTTCTTGGGTGTGCTATGGTCCTCATTCATTTCCTGAAAACAGTGACAGCACAGATCCATCGGTTTCCCTCAGACCATGCAGCACCAATGGCAAACGGAGGTGACACAGGTGGTGAAGGCAAACACCAGCACAGAAAGCCGGTGCGGCACAGCCCCTGCCTCCCAGTTTGTTTTCCTCCTGATTAGCTGAGTGTTAAGTGAGAGGGGTACTCAAGTTTCCCTCACGCTCAGAGATTATTTAGTCAATTGTCAACCAACATAGGCTCACTAAACCCTGACCATGTGATTAGCGCTTTACCAGGGCCAACAGTGGGTGAGAGACCTGGGGGCTGGAGTCTAGACTTGAATTACTTTGAGAACAACGCAAAGCAGGTAGAATTTAAAATGATGAGGAGATACACTGGATTTATGGTTCAAAAAGATTTCTCTGGCTGATGTGTGGCGAACAGGCTGGAAGGAGGGAAGGATGGCTGAAATTCAGATATAATGGCTCTTGAAATGTGACGCCTGGCCCAGCATCAGCATCATGTGGAAACTTATTGGAAAAGCATGTTTTCCCACTCCACCTCAGATCCACTGAGGGATGGAGTATCTAGGTGGAGGTCAGGGTCTGCTTTAATAAGCACTACAGGGACGTGTGAATGCAAAGCCTGAGGACTGCTGGGTTTGAATAGACTGCAATGCAAAATGAGCCATTTTGTGCTCATAGTGGACGACTGGGCGTTGGCACCCTTACCTCTTTTATTTTTTCCTTACAAATCTTATACTGCTTCTTCTGACTTTCTAAGAAAGTTGTCAAGTCTTTCTTCTGCTGGGCCAGGATCTGTTGCTGGAACTTCTTCTCATCCGCTGCAGCTGCCTTTGCCTGAAAAAACAACAAAGATGCCAGGATGAAGTTGAGCTCCTCATGGAACACCGCTGTCTCCATTCCCAGTACGGGGAAGCAGTCTACAAGTGCCAGATAATGTCAAGTTTGAAAAGATAATGAAAAAAAACCTAAAGACATCTTTTAAAAATTACCATTAAAATACATTCCTAGTTATTGAAAAATATGAAACTGAACCATTAACTTATTTGGGGACAGGGTTCTACTGTGTAGCCCTGGCTGGCCTGGAACTTGCTTTGTAGACCACGCTTGCCTCAAACTCAGAGATCTTTCTACCTCTGCCTCCTGAGAGCTGAGGTTAAAGGAGTGGGCCACAACATCCAGCCAATAAAACGTGTATAGGGGTGTGTATGTGTGTGTGTGTGTGTGTGTGTGTGTGTGTGTGGTGAGTGCATGTGCAGGTCAGAAGTCAATCCCAGGTGCTGTTCCTCAGGTGCCACCCACCTTGTTATTTATTTATTTATTTTATTTATTCATTCATTCATTTATTCATTTAATGTATTTATTTCTTGTGTCTGTGTTGTATGTGTGGTATATGCACTGGTATGTGTGCAGACGCATGTGCCTGTGTGTGCATGTTTGTGGAGGCCACAGGACAGTGGTGTCCTGCTGATCATACTCTACTTTATTCCTTTGGGACACAGACTTTCACTGAACTCAGAGCTAGGTTGGTGCCCAGTGAGCTCCAGTGATCCAATGATCTTCTTGTCTCCACTCTCCATAGCTCTGGAGTTGTAGGTACACATGTGGTTAGGCCTGTGTAGGCTGCGGGGACCTGAACTCAGGTCCTCATGCTCACACAGTAAGTGCTCTTATCTACTGAGCCATCCCTCTAACCTCCCTCCCCTTGTTATTTTAGACAAAGTCTCTCATTGACCCGAGGCTTGCGGCAGATTAGGCTAGGTTGGCTAGTCAGGGAGCTCCAGGGGCCTGCCTGCTCCACTTCAGAGTGGCTGAGTTACAGGCTGTGCCACCATGTCTAGCCCATCATTCCCTTCCTGTCATAAGTATTTATCAGTAATAAAGCCAAAATCTTGATTTTTGTGCCTTTCATCTTTATTTTTTTTAATTTTAATTTTTTAATTTAATGAGACATGGTATCATTTTGTAACCCAGTTAGGCCTTGAACTTGAGATCCTCCTGCCCCAGCAACCCAGTGACCCAAGGTTACAGGTGCTTGAATATTTTCAAAATTAGTTTGGTGGGTCTGAGGGTGAGCATAAGGTTAGCATGTAGGAATGGTTCTGAGTTCCATCCTGGTACTAACAAAAAAAAAAAATCAATTAACTAGAATAATTAAATACGTTAATAACCTGGATAAGGAACGGAGATATTTCCCCAGAAAACCCATGTGGGGGCCAGATTACTTCCTTGTGGCCAGTGGCGTGAGCAAGGGTGATCTCCACCAAAGGGCTATTTGAGGAGAGCTGGGGTGTGGCAGCCCAGGCCCAGACCTGAGCAGTGCAGGGTCCCAGAAGACAGTGGCATTTTCCTTCCCTTTACTGACTGGGACCCAGACCACGGTGGAGGGAGTGATGTACAGACACGTCTCCACTGGATCTTCACTAGCTATTTTATCTTGGAATGGTCACTTCAAGTGGACCCTCTCAGCCACAGTGCTGCCGTGTGACTCACAGGCCCCACTCCCACCTCTTGCCACTGACCCACATGGGCTAGGGCTGGCTGCCCCCGACCGGCTGTGCACGTGCTCGACTGACCTCCTTTTCTATGACAGCCACTTGCTTCTTGGCCAGCTTCTCCAGCTCGATGGACGAGTTGTTGGCATGCGTCTCCACCTCCTTCTGGAGCTTGAGGCGGTGCTCGTCCATCTCGGCCTTCAGCTTGTTCTCCAGGGCGATCAGCTGCTTCTGGTGCTGGCGCCGCATCCGCTTATAACCTGACATCTGTTCCCGCAACTCGTTCTCCTGCTCATGCTCATGGATCTGCCGTGTAACCTGGGGGGTGGAGGGGGGTGGCACGGGCAGAATGTCACTGTGGGGACCAGAGGCAGACTTTTGGGCAAAGTGGAGAGAGCCACTCGCTTCGGAGTATCCCAAAGCTGACCTGTAGAGGGTGCTATGCTAGGTGCTAGCTCATTCTCAAAGCCACCTCTTGGCTCAGCCGTTTTACACACTCATGAGGCAGGTGTAATGTACTCATTTGATAGATGAAGAAATTGAGACCTGAAGGAAGCCATTTATATATTTTTGACATACTATCATATACACACATATACATATATGCTCATGTATGACATGCCATTACACACACACACACACACACACACACACACACACACACACAGAGTCAAGGTCATGTGCCTAATAAGGAGTGTGGCTGCTCCACCTCTGTCTGGTTCTAGAGACACACCATTTCCACTACACCACGATCTCTGAGTCTTGATGCTACTGACAACTGGCCAGTTGCTAATTCTTTGCTATGGGTCTGTCCTGTGCACAGTGGGATGTGTGGCTGCATTCTGGGCCCCACCTAATGGCACCTCTTAACTCATGAGACTCAAGTGTCTTCAGAGGCTAAGGATGTAACTCAGCCGTACAGGATTTGCTTAGCATGTGCAAGCTTGGCCTTGGGGTCCACACCTAGTGCCTGCACGCACACACACACACACACACACACGCACACACACACACATATGTGTGTGTGTGGCCTTCAGACATTGCCAACATTTCCTGGGTATCAGTACCCCTCTGGCTGAGACGCACTGCACATTTTAAAAGGCTTATGTCACTAACATGGAGGAGAGACACAAACAAGACCTATATATCATAGACACACAGGATTTTTTTTTTTTTTAGACAGGGTCTCACTATGTAGTTCTGGCCAGCCTCAGACTCACAGAGATCTGCCTGCTTTTGCTTCCCCAAGTGATGAGATTAAAGGTGTGTGCCATCATGCCTGGTCACACAGAAAAATTCTAAACCATGTGCCTCCCTTCCCTTCCCTATAAAAGAGCTGCTAAGGAGTTACAGTAATTGTCTCCTCAAAAGGGAAAAGTATTTCTATGAGTTTTGCCTGGCCACTTTTCCTGGGAGCTTTTCTTTCATCATTCTCAGTTAAATGTCCAACAAGCTGAAGGGCTCAGGGGGAACCTGAAACCTGTGCCCTGTTGTCTCTCCCAGACACTGCTGTGAGCGTTCAGGCTTCCTCTAGCTTCTCACTCTCTCTGCTTTCCTGATGGAGCCTCCAATCACTTCCTTCTCCCTTTTCCTATTTATTTTAGGAAAGCCCTTTCATTCTGGCATCGTAATGTTAACTTTGCTCTTCACTATGTGATTTGGCTACCCCCCTTGATGACTTCCAGCCCTGTCCCCCAACCTCACCCCCAAACAAGTTTTACTGGAGAATTTCACACTGCTATTAATGCTCTGAGCTATTTTCAGTTTATGGGTCAAAGTGCTCTTTTCATTAAAAAGCAGTTTGTTTCTCTGCGCTTTTTAGAAGGTGTCCCTCACCCCAGCACTCTCCACTTGGTCCTTACTTTGGAGAGAGGGCTGTTTTGTGGATACCGGATAGTATTATCACAGTACACATTAAACATTAGCTAGGTAGGCTTTGAGCCCTTTCCAGCTCACACAAACTCTAGGTTTCAGGTGCACTGCTCACCATGGAAGGACAAGCTCTCTAAAGCAGAAGATATGTCAAGACCCACAAAGGATAGTCCTCCAAATCTCTAAAAGAGACCAGTGGTCTCTTCTGTTCATAATTACACACACACACACACACACACACACACACACACACACACACACACACACACATTCACTTTTTATACTGTGTGTGTAGGAGAGGGCAACACACTTTTTTCACACACACACACACACACACACACACACACACACACACACACATTTACTTTTTATACTTTGGGTGTAGGAAAGGGGACCAAGGACTTCACTTGCTAGCCTTCCTCTTACCACAGAGCCACGTTCTTGTTATGTTTTTTTTTTGAGATGGGATCTTTCTATGTAGCCCAGGCAGATCTCAAATTCTCTACCCTTCTGCCTCAGTTTCCCACATCCTGGAATTGCAGGTATGCCTGGCTCTGTGTGGACTGTTTAGTTTGTTTGCTTTTTTACCCCCTGTAGCACTGGGCAGAGAATTCAAGGTATTGCAAACACTAGGTAAGTTCTCTACCACTGAGCTAAATCCTCAGAATAAAAAAAAATTTTGGGGGGGGGTGGCGGATAGGGTCTCCCTATAGCCACAGCTGGCCTGGAACTGGCTACGTAGACCAGGCTGGGCTGGATCTCATAGAGATCCACCTGTCTCTGCTTCCTGAGTGTTAGGATTAAAGGTGTGCACCACCATGCCCAGTCTTTTAATGTTTTTGTTTGCTTGCTTGCTTTTTTGAGACAGGGTGTTACTATGTAGGCCAGGCTGGCCTTGAACCTCATGGTGATTCTCTTGCCTCAGCCTTACAAATGCTGGTTACATGCCTGTCGCACCACACTTAGCCCCACTATTATTTTCTTAAATGTACTTATATGTGGATAAAGGAAAAGAGTGAAGCAGTCTGAGAGATGGTACAAATTTCACTCCTTTACCACCCAGAAGCACATTTTTAGGGGGGAAAAAATCAATCGATTCTGCTTATCAGAAAAGATACCATTTAGTCCCCTCTGAATTCAGATTTTTTTTCCCCAGACAAATGTGGAAATAGAGTTTCTATTCCCAGGTAGACATGTTCTATCCACATATTTATTTTAGTTTTCCCTTGTGTGTATGGCATATACACGTGTATACACGTGTGTATAGGCATGCTCACCCATGTGAGTGTGGAGGCCAGAGGTTGACAATGGGTGTCTTCTAATGCTCTCCATCTTAGTTTTTGAGACAAAGTCTCACTGACCTGAGAGCTTGCTGTTCCAGCGAGCTCTAGGGACCCTCCTGTTTCTGCCCTTCCAGTGCTGGGATAACAGCCACACATTGCCTTTCCTGACTTTTACATGGGTGCTGCAGATCTGAACTCAGTTCCTCCTACTTATGCAGCAAGCACTTCACCCACCGAGCCATCTCTCCAGGCCTCTAGTACTCTCTCCCTCATTAATGAGACCCCCAGAGCACAGGCAGGGTCCACTCTAAAGCCACCACAATACACCTAAACCCTGTCACATGCATTCGTCTAGAAGATAAGATATTCTTAGGATGGCCACCTTCTGCTAGGAGGCCCAAAGATGAAGCAGAAATGAGGCAAGGGGCATTTTCTGTCTTAACTGGGGGTGGCTTCCTGAAAACATGGTGGTCCTGCCTGATCATCACACCCTGCTCAAAGTATGATGTGTATAGCAAAGACTACTGACAAAGCCCAGGTCCCATTGCTTCCCAAAGCTCCCCATGGTTTGGATAAACAGCTTCTCAGACTCCAAACACCACTTTCCATTGTCACAATCAAACTTCCTGAGTTTCAGATTGGTTTCCTGATACTAGGGCTGTTTTGTTTTGTTAGATAGTCTTGCCATATAGTCCAGGCTGGCCCCTAACTCCTAGGTGCTAGGATAAAAGGAGTGAGCCACCAAGAGATACAAAATTTTATACTTCCATGCTCAAGGTAGATAGATGAGTTAAAAGTACAACCAGTGGTTTCATTTGTGAAATTGAACATTAAACATATTAAAAATACACTGATTACATTCCGAATGCTGGTTTGTTGTATGTGTGCACCATTTACCTGAAGAATACACTGATTGGTCAGCAGAATTTTAAAAAGCCAATAATTTTATATATTTTACATGTGCTTTCACATATAATTTATCTCCTTAATTTTTTTTTTATTAGTGCGTAGTGTATGTACTTGTTAGTGTGGGTGTGTGCATATGCTGGTATGCCTGTGGTAATAGGCTGGAGGCTAATGTTGGGTGTCTTTCCTCAAAGGCTCTCCACCTTTATTTTTTTGAGACAAGGTCTCTCAGTTAACCTGAAGTTCACTGATTTGGTTAGACAGGCTGGCCAAGGAGCTTCTGGGATCTGTCTGTGTCCACTGCTCAGAGCTGAGGTTATAAAAGCCACTAACCCTGGCTTTTTCCATGGCTTCTGGGGATCTGATCTCAGGTCCTTACACTTGCAAGGCAGACATTTTACCGACTGAGCCATCTTCCCAGTCCCTGTTTGTGTTTTTGAGACAGCCTCACTGTGTAGTCCAAGCTGGCCTGGAACTCACTATGCAGCCTAGGGTGGCCTCAAACTTCTTGTATTCGTGTCTCAGCCTCTCAAGAACTGGGATTACAGCTGTGTACCACCACTCCTGACTCTACCTCTCTAATCTTTGTAAGTCTTGGGATCAGAACCAAGGGCCTATGTCCCTCAAATTGCCTGAGGGAATTCATGTCTTCAAGGCAGAAAAAGAGCTATTATTTTCTGTCAGAAAGAAATAGGGAATCGTCATCCCTTAAAAATAAAATAAAACAAACAAACCAGTCAAAGTTGGAGTAAATGTTAAGTGTGAATCACAAATTGAGGAAGTGTGAAAATGTGAAAAAGTTACAGAAATGAGGTGACTACAGTTTTTACCAGAGATGGCTCAATCATGGGACCATATATAAGTGGGCTGTGCCACTGTACCACACCCATGAGCGGCTTAGAAAAAAGACTCATTCAGTCCTGAACTGCACCAATGACCTTGGGCAAAGGACTTAACCTCTTGAAGTCTTTTGATTCCTTTGCAGAAAAGATGGGCAAGCTGGATGTTGTTCAGAGATGGAGGGCTGGATAAGGTTAACATGTGAAGTGCTTAGCTAGCATCTGACTTGAAGGAATGCTCAATACCTGTAGGTTTCCTTCCTTCTCCTTCTAGGCTACAAGAAATGTTGGGATTAAAGATTAAAGGCATAGGCTACCATGCTCAGTGAAAGAGCATATTTCACAGTATGATTACCTATTTCTAGCTTGTGGGCTATGAAGAAAAATATGGTAGAGCATGTTAGTGTGAATGAGGCCC